ATGTGCTGAGCTAAAGGCCCCGCACGTGACGCCGTGGGGCTGGCACCTCCGAGAGCTCGTGGGGAGAAAGGAGAGCTGGGGAAGGTGTTATGGAGAGCAGAGAGTTGGTTCTCCCACCAAAATCCAGCCTTCTGGCCATCTCCAGCTTAGCTGTGGAGATTTTTGTGTACCATGGAATGGACTTAAATGGTGGTGAAACAAGTGGCCTCAGAAGAAACAAGATTTACTTGAAACAGAAAAGAAAGTGGCTGTTCAAGAGACACCGAGCACCACCAGGGCTCAGTGAAAAGTATTTCCTCTGTTCCACTGTTGGCTCTTGAAAGTGGAGGAGTTTCTGCTTTCCTCTCTGCTCTTCCAAAGACTCAGCCTGCCCCAATCCCAGCCTCCCAGGCTCCACAGCCACCCCAGCCTGGCAAAACCTGCCTTCCCATTYCCTCCTGCAGAAYRCMCCTCGCTGCTGCTGCTGCCCTGCAGAGGTTTGGGGGCCTGGCTCTGGATTTGGGATGGAGCTGCTTGACGCATTCATTAGTCAGCCTCATGGGAGGGAAGGTCTGACAGCTCCCAGAGGAGCTCCCTGCCCTCCATCCCACCGTGACCTCACTCCCTGGGYGTAGCTCTGGCTGCCCTGCAGGGCTGCTGGTGGCCTCAGAGRAAGGACAGGCAGTGTCACCTCCCACGCTGGGGCTCTGTAAAATGTCCCAAAAGCAAATCCCCTACGGGCCTCTCCAGCGTGGGGACAGCAGTGTCCCCTCCACGGGGGCTGGACACCCCCAGGGTGCTGGTGACCCCCTGGCCCTGGCTGTCCAAGCCCAGGACAGTGGGGCTGTGAGCCAGCCGAGCCTGTTCTTCACTGTGCCCTTCCCTGACCGGTGTTCCTGCTCCAAAAACTCGGCCCTGGCAGAACAAACCCAGCTCTGGGATTCCCTGCGATCAAACCAAATCGAATTTGAACCTTGCAGATCAAAACCTGGTATTCCCAGCCACAGGCACTGGCACTCTGGTCCTTTCCCCACCCTGTGCCACTCCACCAGCCCTGGAGAATAACKGGGGGCTCCAGGGGTGGGGTTGGTGTGCTGGCCTGCACCCCCAGGGATGGGCTCTGCTAGGATGGAAGGGGTTTCTTAATCCACATTCCCAGCTCAGTGTTTGTACATCCAATTCTGAAACCTCCTGGGAGCCCAGGGAGTTCACATTTGCTGCCCCAACAAATTAATTTCCATTCAGTGGTGGCTGTCAGAGCACTCTGAGGTCTTCTAGACGTGGCAGAACAGCTAAAGAGAATTATTTCTAAGTTTAAGGTTTAGAGAAGCTGGGGCTGCTCCATTCCTGGAAGTGTTCAAGGCCAAGTTAGATGGGACTTGGAGCACCCTGGGATAGTGGAAGGTGCCCCTGRATGGGTTTTAAGGTCCTTCCAACCCAAACCTTTCCATAATTTCTATGATTTTAAAGCCCAGTTGATAACAAAGAATTGAGCAGGACAGGTTGGAGACACCGTGGATGAAAAGTGAGGTTCTTCAGTCCCTGCCAGAAGCAGAGCAGGTCTTGCCCCAGCCCTGGGAAGCATCAGCCCACCATGTAGTGGGAAGAATTGAGGAGGGGATGTGGGGAAAGAGCCTTCCCTTTACTCATGGCCCTGTTGAAGGAGTTGGACCCAACCTCCTGCCCAGCAGAGGGGAAGGGGCTTTGGATGGTTCTGATGTTCTGTGAGCCCCCAAAGAGGGGCTTGTCTGGTTCCTGCACTGCTGCAGAGTGAAAGTTCAGTCTGGCCATGAAAATGCCTGGTGGGAATGTTCCATCTGGACACAGGGCACTCCTCTGGTGGCTCGCTGGGGATGAGGGAAGAGGCTGGGTCAGGGGCGAGCTGTTGGGCACATGAGAGCTGTGGCCTGGCTCAGCTTCACCCACTGAAGTGGCAAAAATCCCCTTTCTGTCAGGAGCTCCAGGGGCTCTCCTTTGGCTGGTCCCATGGCCAGGGGAGCCTGAGCACTGCAGGAGGAGCTCACTGAGAGGGCTGAGGGGGAAGCACAGCCCCAGGAGCTCTGGAATGCACCAGTCCCTGTGGAATCTCTGCTGCCAGGCCCTTGAACATCAGCCCTACAACCCCAACCATGCACCACGAGCAGAACACGAACCCCAACTCTCCTCCCCTCGTCATCAATCACCTCTCTCCCCTGCACTCATCTGCAGGATGAGCGTTCCTTGCCAAGGAGGGAAATGCAGCACAGAATCCCCAAAAAGAGGTGGGACATCCCTATTTTCTCACATGCAGCTCATTTTGTTATTCCTGTTGCCCAGCCATGATTTAAAAGCAGCATTGGTGTAAAAAAGCTGGAGCTGAACGCGTGTCCAAGGGCTGGAGTTTCTCTTCCATCAGGACAAAACCTTGGCAGATGTCAGCAATTCTCCCC